GGGGTTTTTTTTCCCAAAAAAGGGGGGTACTTGTTAAAAAAATTTTACCTCCTTTTTTCCATTATTTTTTTTCAAGCCATAAGGGGGGGTTTATGTAAGCCTTTTCTTTATGGAGACCATTTAAAAAATTTTGGGGTTTAAAGCCTTTTCCTTTGGCAAAGGGGTTTGCTTCGCCCCCTTTCCCCCCCCCCCCCCCCCCCACTCTTTTAAGTTGGTGCATTTTTCACAAAGTGTGAACACTATGAACTTTTTCTAAAGTTATTTTCTTAGTAGTGGTTTAAACTATAGTATGCATCGATAAATATATCAATTTCCTTGGGACGGGAGGGGGGAGAGTGTCGCAAATATGATTGTGGGTATTGAAAGTTACTTATTAGTTAATCCTTTCAAATATTCTCTTTTTACTATTATAACAACAAAAGATTAATATTGTTGATTTCCTTTTTAATCCCTTTTATTCAAGTGTTAGTAAACTGGGCTTAACATCTATTTTTAATCAGATAAACATAAGGTAGAAATTCCTATGTGTTTCTTATTGAGCATACTAAGCATGACTCTTAATTATCTTTTGATCTGTCTTGCATTAACTTGATAAAAACCTTCATGTATTAAGATTAATCCCTCAATATCACTACATAATAACTTATTATGTTTGCCAAACACCCTCATTATCATACCGCATATGTTAATTCCATCCAGTCTCATTGATTATTTTTATGGTAAACTACCATAGGGTAAAAGGTGAAAACTATATGTGTTATACTTAGTAAAGATGTAATAAAAGTTAGGTTAGGCCATATTTACCTTCAACATGTTTTGTGGAGGCAACTAGAACTAATTCCCTATGTATATTTCAGTGTGGAGTCACCTATATAATTCTGATGCATTGATAATAAATTTTTACACTACATCAAATTTATAGTTTTGATAGAACTTTATTTTTTTATAACATATTGTAAGCTAGAAATTTGGGGCTTCTATTTAATTATTGATATTGATATCTCACATGGCTTTACTAATATTGCTTGAGTCCCTTTGTCTAACTCCATAGAAATTGGATACAACACTATTGGTAGTGGAGGAGTTGCATTATGAAATCCATGTAATTGTTGACTACTAAGTTACATTTTTTGCAATACCATAAGTTATCATTAAAAAATTCTCTCCAGCTACCTTAACATAGTGGGAATGTTTCTCCTATAACAAAAATGAAAGAAAAATCATAAATTAATTCATTCAAATATAGAATATTTCACTCATATTACCATAAGTGATGTAGATAATGTATTTGTTTGGCCCAAACATTGTGTACCTCTAATGTGTGTTTATGGTTTGCATTCAAAAGTAAATAGTGAAAAACTTATAATTTATATGTACTTAAGGATGTATCAGCAATAGATGTTCACCAAGATGTGTTGGCATAATTTGCATGATTATTATGTACATCTTGAAAAATCTAGCAAATTGCTCAGTTTGTTGCCTTGTATCCATATATTGCTCAAAACACCACAACATAAAGCCATATAAATCTATGTTTCAAAAGAAAAGAAAAACCATAAGCATGTGCTTTTGATATAATCATTCACATACAGTGTTACTCATTGCCATGTGCAAAAGAAAATCACACTTCAATCACAAGAGACAATGCTATGTAAAAAAAATTAAAAAATAGTCACTACAACTCACAACTCTCAAACAAAAAACTATTGTTACTTATATACAATATGTAGTTTGGAGAAATAATTGTGTTTTTGATCTTCACCCTCTTACTCTTTGAAACCTGTACAACATGAGAAATCATGAAAAAATCACATACCTTACTGCAACACCCATAGTGTCCTACATACACAATGATGCATGAGAAAAAACCTCATGCTAGTGCTGCCTGCAAGTAAAAACCTTGGCCACAATCATACGCACTCAAGAGATAAGCCAAGAACTTGCAAGAGAATGTGCCAAGCAAGAAATGGGTAGCAAACAAAAAACAGCAAGTAAGAAATGAGCTAGGCATATGTGCAGTGGCAGAGAGCAAATACAAACCTTATGGCTGCCACCGGTAGAACTGTGAGATACTGCCTGAGCTTAGTTAGCACTGCTGTGCAAGCACCGTGAGCAACGCAAGCAAAACATAAAGCTGTAAACATCCACAACACTATGAGATCCCTGTAAGCGCTGGTGCTGTTTGAGATTAGATGTGATTTGCAAAACACAACCTGAGTTGCATTAGACAAAGCATGAAGATCCCTAGCGACATACAGAAAACAGCATTGTTTTAATGCTTAAGGGTAAAAATAAGTTATTTAATCCTAAGTTTATATAATCTTTTTTCTTGAGGAGCCAAGTTTTTTTTGTTAAAAGTTGCAGATGTCTTTAAACAAGAACTTTTTTTGCCACAGGAATTTCCTCTGCTTCTTCCTGATCACCTCGCCTTCGCTTCAAGCTCCGCTCCAAAAACATCTCCTTCGTCTCCAAGTTGGCCTTGCTACCCAGCACCAAACTGGACAGTTCTGGCTGTAGCGCGGAATGCTTGACGACCCATGGATGCTTCTCAACTTCGTGGACTGACAGCCTCTTTCTTGGGTCTAAGTGGAGCAACTGGAGAATGAGATCTTTGGCTTCGACGCTGATGTTTGTCCAGTCGCCCTGGAATATAAACTCCCCGGACAAGATCTCATACAAGACAATGCCCACACCCCAGGCATCCACCATCTCGTCATACTCCTTGTTAGCCACCATCTCTGGGGCATTGTACACCTCCGTCCCGACCTGGCCTCTCATTTTAAATGATTGTGGCCCCTCGCTCACCCAAGACAGTCCAAAGTCAGTTAACTTTATAGCGTCAAACAACTTCTCCTCAAACCCTAGGAGGATGTTGGCAGTCTTGATGTCCCTGTGAGCTATGCCCATGTCGTGTATCTTGCCCACAGTCCTAGCCACCTTTTTGATCACTATGGCTGCCTCATGCTCACTCAGCCTCTTCTTGTCACTCAACACGTCTTTCAGTGAGCCCCTGCACAACTCCATGACAAAGTGATAATAATCTTTGTCCTTGAAAACGTCCACCAGTTGAACCACACCACTCTTTTCCTTGCTCTTGGACAGCCTTGTGAGTGCTCTGATCTCCAGTTCTGCTTCCTCCGGATCTCCATGTGGGAGATCAATGTCGATGGGCTCCTTCAGATCATAGTCTGTGATTCGAGTCGACTTGCAAGCAAACAAGTGACCATCAATCTTTCTTTTGATTTGGTAGACTACTGCTTGGCCTCCCCTACCCAGCTCCTTTTCCACTGAGAACAAGTCCTTTATGCTTGTCTTGTTAAACTCCATTGCCTCCAAGGACCGCACCAGCGCGCTTTGCTTGTCCATCGATCTCTTTAATGATAACACCGCTGCCAGTTCGCCTACGCGCTTGTGAAGTAGCTTGTGATCCTCTACCGAATACGGATGCTCATCGAATTCTTTGTCCACTTCTGGCAAAGACCATGGCCATCTATCAGCCCCTACCGAATACAGATGCTCATCGGCTCTTACTATTCCTTGTAATTCTTTGTCCACTTCTGGCAAAGAGCATGGCCATCTATCAGCCTCTACCGAATACAGATGCTCATCGGCTCTTAGTATTTCTTGTAATTTTTTGTCCACTTCTGGCAAATACCATAGCCAGCTATCAGCTTTTACCGAATACAGATGCTCATCGGGCCTTACTATTTCTTGTAATGCTTTGTCCACTTCTGGCAAGGACCATAACCCAAGCGCCATACCCTTGATTGTTTCTTTAGCCCTAGTCTTGATGCAGACATGAAAAGGTAATCAAAAAGGAAAGTTCATGTGGGTGGAAAAGGCTCGTTTGGGACGATGAAGAATTCTCGGCCCGAGGCCGGAACAGCAACAGCACAAGAAGAAGTCTGTGCGAGAGAGATTTTGGATATGGAGCTTATCCTGGAGAGGAGATTTATTCGCAGATTTTTTGTTTTCCAGGAACGCCCCAGGCAATCCAGCTTGAGAGGGCCATAAGACCAATCAGGTTCTCATACTCCACGATATTTCTTCAAGCCGTTCCTGTTACGAGATGGTCGCTCAAAATTGCCGAGATTTTTTCCAACGGAGGAGTGGAGTAGACCTGTCAATCCCTCCAGGAGATCGTTGACAATGCTGCTGTCACGAGGTCACTGGTTCTCGCCTTCGTTCATGTAGTCTCACCATTCCCTGTAACAAATGATCGGTAACGTAAGAAACAGTTAAGCAAGGACAAAACCACGAACCCTGCGAGCTGCCTTGCTCATTTGCGTGGCCGCCTTGCTAAATGCAAAAACTAAACAAACTCCTCGTTCCTACTGTAACACCCAAGCCAAGAACCTGGAAGAATGCAACATATGAAACAGAACCTAGCAACAAAGAAAAGAGAACACAAACCTTGTAGAGTTCGTGAAGCAGCTGGCGAGTATAGTGACGCTGTATGATTCCTAGGATTGAGTTCCAATTGGCCATGGGATGTGCCAACGTTAAATGACGAAGACGAATGTGCTCCTTCCACATCGGCCAAAGCTATCAGACGTCTGTGGGATTTTAAGAGTTAAACATGCTTGCTTTACGGCACGAAAACAAAAGAGAATACCTGTACCAACGATCCTGTCACCCAAAGCAGGGACTGTGCAGCTACACCAGGGAATGCTTGAAAAGCTGCACATAAGAAAAGGGAACTTTCAAAAACAATGTTCAACTTGCAAAGAATCTCAGTGTTTTTACCTCACTGTAAGCTCCAGCTGGTCGATATGATAAGCCTCAACACGTAGACCTTCCTCCTCTGCTTGACAGAGATGATGAGCTTCTGTGTCGGACCTTTCGCAGGCTCTACTGCGCAATTATAGGGCCATGTTTGGTTCCATCGTCTCGACGAATCTCAAGCTGCTCAGAACGTTTGAAGAACTACCCCATCCGGAGCGCTGTAACTTGAAAGACACAGATTTCTCGGTTCCCGTAGCAGACCCTCCAACAAAAAGACCTTTGAAAGGTCCCAACAGGTAGGTTAACTTGCGTTCTTCCAACTGTAGACGCAATGGAGCAATGCTGTAAGATAACACATTGTGAGAGATATCACAAGGATCGCACAACTCAATACCTCCAGTAGATGCATTGGTAGCAATGAACCGCGCCGATTGGATGCCTGCATTTTGAGACAATAGCAGAGTGCGGGTTCTCGCTCTTCTCCTGTGTTAACTGTCCAGACGAGTTCCATTCACTGCTTCTTATGCCTCTCATCAAGATGCCCGAAGACTTCGCGGTAGAAAGTAGGACGGGATAAATGGCATGGCGGAGTTCGTTGTCGACTTGGAGCAATCCGATTTACATTTTCATCTTCTGCTGAGTCTGGAAAAACTGCAACTCAAAGCCTCTCGCTGATGCCAACGTAAGTTCCTGCCAATGATTTTCGAGTCATAATCAGCAACGATACACATAGAGCAGTACCTGACAAGCGTGGTTGCACTAGATGCCAGTTTCAAGGAACAATCTTGCGAAGAACCCTTTCTGGAATCTCTGAAAGTCTCTTCTATGCGAGGATTTAGCATTCGTAAGTCCTTTGTGGTATGGAGAAGTAAGTCGACAACGCTAAGGACCTGATAAATGCAAGTCAAGTGAATAGATGGATATTACAAAATTGCTTACTCTTTGCATGCAAAGAAACAACAAAACGGCCCTCTCGTTTTTGTAAAATCCCACACGAACCATTTGATCACAAACAGTGATATTAAATTGTATTACAAACCTGTCCAACTGTATGGACGGAATGTTCCAAGAGTTCCTTCGCCTGGAACCTACAACGGGAATGCTGAGAGAGATACTAAGACTAGAAAGGTTTACCTCGATGACAAGATGTATAGGCAGGCAAGGCTCATCCCAAGTATAGTCACGTGAACTATAAGGCTGCAGCACGTTCTCAGTTTTCTGGCACTTCTTGTGGTAGAATCTCAGCTTCTGATATAAAAACAGAGAACGTAAACACAGCCAAACACGAAAGAAGCCAGCATACAAACCTCCTTCAAAAAGTTGTCGATTCGATAAGGCATGAACCTGTTTCATCATTTGTCACGATGATATAGAACGTCCCGAGCCTGTCATTTCCCGAACCAATGCTGTCACCCGCAGCATTTGCGTCGCTGACCACCACCCGAAGCATCTCTTTCACCAGTCAAATGGTTGTAAACTTTAACTTGGGTATCTCCAAGCCGATCAAGTGAAAATCCGCCAGACCAATCCCAGCCGTGCTCCCGCAAAGGCAACAGGAGAGTTCTGCACAAGAAAAAAATGATAAGTTTCCATCTACACTGCAAAATGTTATGACCTGGTTGTATCACTCCAGTGGACGT